GTTGCGTGTGATGCAACGAACGCTGAGCCGCGCGATTTCGGTATTCAGCTCCTTCAAATCGCCCAGCTTCTTGAGCTTGTCTCGCTGTCGCCGCTGCAGCATCAGCAGATTCTCCAAGTTGTAGCTGCGCCGCATGTTTGCCCGCTGGCAGCTCAGCTGCGCGTAGCGCATCGTGCTCATCTGCAGCACGGGGCTGTTGTTGCGACTCACGGGCGGCGAATTGATACCGCCATCGCTCGGCGCAGTCCGTTCATTATTGTCGTAGTCGGCGTAGCGCTCGTATTGCAGACGCAGCTGGGCGTGCAGACCCTGCTCGCTGATCAGCTCTGGGGAGGTAAAGTGCTCGCCGTTTAGATAAAAGATTAAACAGTTCGCCCGGCAGTTAGCAAATGCCAGTGGGGCCAACGGTATTAGGCCAGAGAAGTAAACGCCCCAGCTGAACAAGAGCTCCGGTGGGCGTGGCAGCGTGTGAGGTGTCAACTGCACGTTGGCCAAGCGCTGCGTCAGCTGCGCACTGTAAAAATAAACGCGAGGGGGAGACATAAACAATAAGCGAGATTCCTCATGTTTCGTGTTGCATGATACAATTCGAATCGTTCGTACCTTGGCGCCGTCTCCGCGGTCTGCTCTATGTCGTTTGGCCCGCTGGGCCACTGGGCGGTCGGCTGGTACTGCGCCCAGACCTTCACACAAACGCATTGCGCATTGGATTTGCGCCAGGCGGCGTCGCCCGCACAGATTTCCGCCCACTTTTGCTGCTGATGGCGCTGCGGCAATGCCTCGCTGGTGTAGAACGCTTCGCTGGCCTTATCGGCGTGCAGTGTGTAGTAGATAAGCAGTTCGTAGTCCTCCGCGGCAATGTCCTCGCCGGCGTATGGGATGCACGTAATGTTTACTCCTTGGATGCGCGCCAGGTTGCGGAGTCGCAGTTGTTGCGTTGCCAATGGCAGCCATTCGCGGCAACGCGGTCGCAAATGCATTGCGGCTTCCGTTCGGCGTTACGCTACGTAATGGCCGTTGCACATAGTAAAACTATACTAAATTATTATTTAAATTTACTACAAAAAATTTACTTTGAACAACACTTTGGGAAAACAGCTGATTTTGCCTGAACAACGGCAAATAGTGTGGCCGTACACCAACAATTTGCAACTAGCTGGCAGCACCGGTACTCAACCACTTGCCCATCAGTGCTGTATTATAGCGGATTTTTAAGAATCTGTCAATTTAAATCAATTTTAATTGTAGCTTAAATGTTAAGTTACTAAAATTAAAGCAATTCCATTGGATGTTATAACAACGTATTTATAATTCCAATTAATTATAAGTACATAAATGTATTGCACATGCGTAAATTTGCGGTAAATGATGCTTATCAAGCCATTGCATACAAATAGCGCAGCACTGTTGCTGCTGGTAAAACTTCAAAACACTGGCAACGCTGCCGCAGAAGTTTATATTCGTGCGCGTAAAAGGAAGCTTGTTGCAAGGCTTTGCCAAACAAAGTATTATTTTAGTCGTATATACGAATTCAAATCAAGTCAATTTAACAAGTTCATCACTTTTAGATGCTCAACTACATTAAGGAAGCAATTATGGCGCCGTCCACACGCAGCAACTGTAGCAAAGTGAACCAAGCTCTGGACAAGGATCCAGATAAACATAAAAACCTAAAAGCTCCAGCCAAAATGCTGGGCTATAAAATAACAGACAATGAACGCTCACGGAAATTCGGTATTGGCGCCAATTCATTAGAAATGCTGCTACAGAAGGCACAGCTCAAATTTCCGGTAAGTGCTTAAAAATATTTGGCAAATTGCGTTGCTTCACAGCGAGAAAATCGCCTCGGCCCACACTCGCCCACATTTGACCCTGCCCTGCCCCTCGTCCCTGGCCCTGAAGTTTCAAGGCCAATGTTTCCTTTGGCTGGCTTCCGCCTTGCTTGACGCTCTACACGCTTCAATGTCATGAAATACTCGTGCCCGAAATGCGCATGCCCCACGAAAACAAACAAAGCACAAGGGGAACACCTGTTGCTAACTCAAATCCGCCTTAGGTCAGGGCTGAGGGTATTACGAGTCAAGGGCAGTGTACTACTAATGGCCTTTCCGCTTGCTTACATTGCAGCTGCAGGAGCTGCACATTTATCTGGCCATTGATGGCTTTGAAGTCTCCGACGAGGAGTATTTCAACAGTTTGCCAGCTCAAACGCTCTTCATTGTGGCTGGACCCGATGCAGTCATCACAACGGGTGAGCGAAGTTTGTATATAAAGCGATGATTAGATGAAATAAATTCCTTTACATTCTGTAACAGATGCTGACTTTGAGTTTGAGCAAATGCGGCAACAGTCGCCGCTGCTGAAGGTCGCGGACATTTTCTACGACTTCATCGAGCAGCATCCGGACAAGTTTCGGCGCATGATTACGGAGTATGAGCAGCAGAAGCAGCGACGGGCCTTGGACAACACGAAAGCCCATCTCAGCCTGAAGGCTGAGCACGTTGAGTGGTTCGAGGGCAGTGAAGAACGCTTTCAGTCCAAGGAGGAGGCCATGGCCGTCAGGGCGCAGACACGTGTGCGTGGCTACTACTACAAAACCAAGGAGGAGCTGACGCGTAATCCGCTGTACAGACAAAATGCCAAGGCCAGGCAAATCATAAACTCGGTGCTGGAGCAATTTCGTTATCTTCTCATTGGCTGCGATTACTTTTCGATGATGTTCAATCGAAAGTGTGAGCTGAAGCATGAGATGTTGCAACAGCATGGGGAATCAGAGGAGCCCGATGCGGCGAGCGTGCCCAACAAACGGCTGCGGCAAGTCATTAAAGACTATACGTCGCGAAATGCCATCCTAGACGAATGGTCCGTTTCGCTCTGCACGGACTTGGGCGACTTCTATTGCCAGGGCGCCTACTCGGACAATGGCAATTACTGCTCGCTGCAGCACACCATTAATCCATATGCTTCACGGGAGAATCTCATATTGTTTCAAGTGTGGAATCTTGACCATCAAATCGAACTGTGCCGCACAATTTTGCCGACGTTGGTGGCCAATGTCCAAGAGCTGGTGACACAGCCGCAGCGCAAATGCGCGCTGCACAACAAACGCGTTGTGGACGTCTCTGTGCTGGAGTACTTCCTGGAGATATTCTCTCTAAAGAATCTCAAGTTGGTCCACATCGTGTGCCATGAGAAGGTGCAACGCACCAATCAGTCCAATGGGCGCCTCCTCTGCGCCGATTGCCACGAATATCGCATTGTGCAGGAGCTCATGCAGGTGCAAGCATCGGAGATAACTTCCTAGAGTGCTTTACGGAGTAAACTACTAAAGCAATATAATATATAATAACTATATACACTCCTTTATGCAATATTACGATCGGCTTTAGCAAGCCAAACTTCGCTGTGTATATATCAATATATGATTTAAACAATTCTCAAATGAGTTAGCTCCATGTCAAATTGTACAAATCTCAAGTATCTCAAAGTTAACTATCAAAGTTTAGTGTTATAATAATTGACATATTTATGCATTTAATACAAGGAAAACATTGATATGCATGCCCTATATACAATATACATAATTGTTATATATATACATACATACATATATACGAGCTAGCTTTAAATGTTGTTAATTGTAGTCAGCCTGTAGATGAGTTTTGAGCAGGTATATTGCCCGTTGCTTTGTTCAACATGTCCATTTTAAGATACTGTAAACTCGACATATGTCAAACAGGAATTATATTTGCATAATGAATATAATTGATCCTATCTTAACAACGTATAGTAGATTAGTGAATTTACAATTATTTAAGTGCAATATGAATACTACTTTAATATACATATAAATATACTATGAAACACATATAAATGAATATCTACTACGAGGATATATCCTAAAGCGAATTCATGCTCATGTACCTAAATACATGTGGAACTACATACAAGTACAACAGTTTTGCTACGTTCGGCTTCTCTGTACCTCTGAAGATAGGATTAAATCGAAAACTGTATTGAAATATATATATTGAAAATTGAATATTGTATATTTAATATGATCTATAATCTATGGTATCAAAAAAGTTTCAGAACTCTTTTAACTCCACCCTTTTATTATTATTTATTTTTTTATTTAAAATGGAAAACTGTCTATTATAACATATACAAATATTCTGATATTCGTTTTATCAAAAAGCTGCGGATAGAGCATTTCCTGAATATTTTAACAGCGTGGGAAACAGCGTAATTAAATTACATTTCTTCAAATCAAGTTTAGGATATAGCAAATACATTCCATTCTTAAATATTGTTAAATTGGAATAGAAACATATCTTGCAATCTTGATTGCCAAAAATAGATGGTGGTGGTGGTGGGTAGAGTGCTTTAACATTTAGCCAAATCAGTGCGTCAATTAACAGTGCACATTAACAGCCAGCTGTTATCTATTATTATTTCGTATGTGGACTAAAATATATTGTCAATAGTTAACAGCTTTCTGCTGGGCAATCTCTCTGTTCTCTGTTAAAAGTAGAATAAATTTATAATTTCCATTTGCAATCCATTCTCCTTCTCATTTTGAAAGCAGCTTTCATATTTGCAACTATACAAACAGGTAAATAAGAAGCCCAATGAATAAGTTTACTGTATACCTTTTACAGCTTTATAGTCAAATCGAATGTCAAAATTATGAACAATCTGTTGTTAATTTTTTTTTTTTAGATATTTCTTTATTTACTTAAAATGTCACTGCATATAAAATTATACAACACAAAAATATATATGAGTATATAATATAATAATAGTCGTCAAATAGATTTGATAACACACTCGTTTGCATACGAATACCTTATGTTTTTATATATGTAAGTATCTTTCTCCTGTATAAATAGCTATGACATAAACAAAGAGTCTGTTGTTAAGATGGTGAAAGAAATGAGAAACTATTCAAATCAAACAGCTGCTGGCTGAAGACGACACACAGAATGAAACTCTATAAATTGAAAAAATTATTTATTTGCTTTTGTTTTCATTTTATTATTATGAATATTATGAATCGTTTTCAGGATGCGCTTTCGTATTATCCGGATACATTTTGATGATTTGTCGATTGCGTTGTTTTTCGTTTCGTTTTGTTATCTCTGGATTAATTCATTCTCTCGGCTTAAGAGCTACGGTTAGTACTGATTCGCTTCGCTAATAGAGTTCGTAAGTTGTGTTAGTTGTTTTGTTTTTGTTTTGCTCCTTTTGTTTTTGTGCTGCTACCAAATCGCGTTTAACAATTGAAAAAAAAAAAATATTTTTAAAATACATTTTCATCTCAACTACAATGCTAGAAGTTAGTTTTATGAAATTTCACTAAAAAGAAACTGTTCCCAAGTTAAACATCATTCTGTTTACTTCGCTGATCCTAAGTATTTGCTGGTACTTAAGCTAGGGACAAGTGCATTAAATTGCATCGTTTGCTGTTGTCTGTTGTCAGCTATAATTGATTTCTATGGTTGTGAGAAATAATTATAGATCCGATTGTCCCGGTCCTGAAATACAAAGTAAAGCAGATCATTAACTAAAGTATTCAATTTTCATTTCACCAAAAACATATACGAATAAAGCTAACAATAATTTGTGGAGAGTTCTTGGTCTGCGCCTTTTTGCTTAGATTGTTAAACGTTCAAGATATATAAATATCTATATATATCCATAGGCCAGACATGGGGGAAAATAAAGCATAACAATAACATACAAATGAAGCGGCAAATAAAAATAAATAAAGCAAAAGCAGCCAACAACTTTGAGAGGAAACTTCACCTTAATTGTTTAACATTTTTTTTTTTTTTTAACTTTTATACATTTTTGTTTATTTTTTGTTTTTTTTTTTTTTAATGATAAAAAAGCCATTCCTATTCTTTATCATCATAGAAACGATTAATTATTTTGTTAAGAATATAAATATTTTAATTGTGTGTAAAAGAAAAGAAAAAAAACAAGTTAATCAAATATAAGAAAAGAAAACATTCAATTATGAATTGTAAACTCATGAATTGTTAATATTTTGAACGACTTTTTATATTTTACAATTTGCAATCGTTGGTTTATTTTCTTTTTATTTTTAATAGTAATTTATTGTTACACTAAAAAAAATCTTCATTCGTTGCTCAGCATTTTGTTCAAGGTGGAGTTTGCTCTCCAAAATTCGTTAAATCAAAATATTTTTGGAAAGGTAAAGATAATACAAATATTTGCGATAGGACATTTAGTCCATGTTTTTAATTTTGTTAAAATTTGATTTGGAAATGTTTCGAAGTGCTACATAACATCTAGATGAGGTTAATGTTTTTGGCAGCTCTACTGAATATTTAGATGGATGTTAATTGTGTAACTGTATTTAGATACAAACCTGGTTAATTGGGTTTAAATTTCAATTTAAAATTTTTCATTTATATTTCATAGATTTAGTTTCAAATTTACTTAGTTTCAAGTACAAAATGTGACTATCGCAAATATTTATTGCAAATAATTAGGAGATACGGCACATATAATTAAAAAAAAAATCAAGTAGCGGCAAAAATAAAAGAAATACATATAGAATAGATAGTGGGCAAATTTGAAATATATATATTATATAATGAGAAAAAAAAAAAAACATTAACGAAAAAATTAGTTGAAATTTTGGGATAGGATATACATTTTAATTGAATTTGTTTTAGGTACCTTAGGATTTTGAACGAGTTTTACAAAATCATTGAGTTGATGAAATTGTTTTTTGGTTTTTGATTATTCTTGTGGCGATTTGATAGATTTTTGATTTGATTAAATATTCTCTTTTGTTTTGTTGCTGTTGTTGTTGCTGTTGTGGTTGTTATTTGTTTTGATTCGAATTTAGAAATGACTTTGGCGAAGAGTTTGCGCTTTTAATTGAGATAACAAACGAACGAGCGAACGAACGAATGAACGATTTTCTTTTTCTTTGGTTTCATTTTGTTTATATACATTTCAGATTATAGATATTATATTTTTCATTAGATATTTAGTTATTAGTCTGAGTATTTTTTGTTTGTTTTGTTTGTCATATTGTACAATGTGATGTGATGTGATATGATGTGATGAGATGATGAGAAATGCAACAATGAAGGCAGTGGCTGGTGACAGTCGCTTGACCTACGCTAGTATCAAGACTCAAATGCAAATACTAAAGTCTATATACATATATATATAATATATTTCTATATATGTATGTGTTCCTGACCCCCTTCCCAGCTAACCCGATAGATAGATAGACCGACTAGACCTTACGCCAGCTGCTAACGGACCGTTCCCTAGACTGTTGCCTAAAGCATTCGGGACTTTTGCTGCCGCGACTACTCAAAATTTCGGGCGATTCGGTGACGCGTGCCAAGTCCCGATTGATTGTCTTGGAGCTGAGCACCCGGGGACAGCGCACCGTCCAGGGGCTGCGACGTGGATCCTGTAGCGCCCGAAATGCCTTCGAGGGCACGATTTCCTCGCCGCCACTCGCCTCCGTCCAGCTGTTGTAGTAGTCGGAATACTCCTTGTCCTGCTTGGGTGTTATGGCGGGCGTGCTGTCCAGCGAGCTGTTCTCCACGGAGTCCATCTCCTCAACCAGGGCGCGCTTGGCAGCCGCCTGCAGGCGTTCGATGGGCAGCTGGCGCAGGTGTGTGCTGTCGCTCTTGAGCAGCAGACTCTGGACCAGCTCGTTCACCAGCTTGTCGCTAACCACGCGCTGCTTGCTTGGCGATGGCCCCACAATGGGTGAGGCGGGACTGTTAGGCGTGGAGGGATTGTCCGCATCGATGCTGGTGTTCTTGCGCAGGGGCAATGAGAGGCGTTCGCGTCGCTGTGTCATGGTCTCCGCTTCGCTGAGCGCATTCGGGTTCTGGCGCCGTGTGATGGATACGTTGTGAACAATCTTGCGTCTGCTCGGCTTGAACTGAAACTCGTCCGCCTGGCCAGCCTCCAAGGCCTCGGGCAGATCGTTCTCGTCCTGCAGCAGCTTAAAGAGTCTGGAATGTGTCGCGGCTCGCTGATAGCTCGTCATTTTCCGCAGCTCAGGGAAGCTTTCGGACTCGGTGTCCGTCTCGGAGAGCTGTCTATTCATGTCCGTCACGCCCGAGTCATCCTCCTCGATCTCGGACTCAGAGCGCTGCGTACTGCTATTCCGGGACAGCTGTCCCTTGCCACGCCCACTGTCTACAGACAGCGATTGAATAGTCATAGGCTTGTTGGAGGTGGGAGTGGAAGGCGTTGCCTCAAATACATTGATGCGATCGCGCACTGAAATTTTGGGCTCATCGACCTTCGTCACACCAAGATCTGGCAGGCCATTAGGTAGCAATTTTCTTTTATATGCTGGCTCCGTTTTGGGCTGTGTTTGAGATTCAGGTTCTGGTTCTGGCTCAACGTAAACCTCTGGCAGTTGGTTAGTTGGTGTGGTCGCACCTCGTTCCTCGTCTTCGGCGTGAGTGTTTTGTACCTTATGTTGCTCCAAGACGACACCGTCCTCGCCTACGATTTCGTATTCACCGGGCGCACCTAGGTTAACTTCGTTAGGTTCTTCCAACTCCAGAATGACGCTGCTTCGATTGGGTTGCGCCTTCTGTTGCACTTTGTGCTCATCGATGGAGGTACTGAAGAAGGCCATAGCTTGGCGATAGTTCTGGCGCTTCTGCTCAGCCTCTTCCAGCTGATCGATCTTTTCACGTTCCTGTTCGATGTCCGCCCAAAAGTCAGGCTCCTCATCATTCTCTGGCTCTTCGTTGCCGTACGAATAGGGCGCCCAGGTATGGACAGTAGCTGGCTCATGCATTGAGGCCAGCGACATAGTGTCAACCATATTGAGATTGGTTTCGGGTGCTTCTTGTGTTGTTTGCTCGATTTGTTTTGGCGAGTCTTCCTCAGTTTTGCTCTCATGCTCAAGCTCGTCGTATTGGGTGGCCAACATTTTTTCCTCTTCGACAGCTGGATCGATTATCACTGGCTCCTCCCCTCGAGCTCCCTCCAGTGTTGCCCACACATCGATTTCCACGGCTGGTTCGTCGGGCAGCTTGGCCCGAAAGGCCTTGGTTTCCACTGGTTTGTAGGGCGTTTCTTCCACCGAGTTTTGGCGCTCCTTGCGAGCCCAAAACGTGGCTGATTTGTGGAAAGTAACATCATCGTCATCTGACTTACGATTTGCTTCGATTTCTGTCCAAAAATCTATTTCCTCATCGGTATCGACCTCACGTGGTTCTTCGGGGTATTTTGTAGGATCAAATTTATAATCATTTACTCGTTGATCATTAACATCTTCGGCTGATTTTATATTCGCCCAGAAATCAATTTCCTCTTCTCCTTCTCCTTCTTCTTGGGTTATTTGCTCTACTGTATTTTCGATTGACTGAGTCTCTGCTTCTGGCTGAGTCTCTGCTGTTTGTTTCGATTGTATGTTGGACTGTTTCATACTATTCTCGGATTTCGCCTTGTCTACTGATGCCCAAAAGTCCTCCTCGGGCTCAGACGACTCTTTGACCTCTGGCGATTCTTCGACCACGAAATGAACCTCGGCGCATTGCGATTGGGGCATGTAATCCACTTTGGCTTTTAGGGTAGTCGTCCAATACTCCACTTTAGTCACCGTCTCTCTTTGTAGTGGGGTATACGTAACGGTTTTTTGTTTTTTCACCCATTGACTGTCCTCCTTACTCTTCTCAATAGTTGCCCAGAAGTCGACCTCTTCTTCTGTCTGCTCGGGCTCGCGTATCGGTTCAGGCTCCTTGGCTGCAGTGGCGAATGTTGACCAAAAGCTGTTCTTGGCCGCCTCCAAAGAGGCCTGAGTCTTGCTTAGGTCACATGACTTGGGTCTAGCTGGTTGGACTTGCTCATTGTTCTGCTTCACCCGTAGCTGCACAGTCGCCTCTTCCGGAGCTTCCTTCACCTGTGCTGCACCAGGCTTTGCCTCTGTCGTCTTCCAGTAGTTCTTGGATTGCTCCATCATTTTCTGTGCTTGCATTTTGGTAGCCCGAAGCGTGGCAAAGAAGTCGAATTCCTCCTTGGGTGCCTCCACGCTATCTTCAACTTTCTTTGCGGGCTCCAATTTGGCAATGTTATTTGTTAGTTCCCCGCTTTGGGTTTCGGCCAAGAACTTATTGCGCATGCCCAGCGAGATGGAGGTAGACACATCTTCATTGCTTAGCTTCCCACTACTTGAGAGTATTTTGTCCGGGTCACCGTTCAGTTGGTTCTCCATCGACTTGTCGATGGAATTGGAGCGAGACGAGTTGGACAAGCTGATGGTGACGCTAACTTCGCAGTCATTGTCGTCCTCATTGTCGCTCTCTAACTTGGCAATGCTAAAGGAATTGCGTTTTCCCTCCAAGCTCTGACGCCGCTCCTCAATCTGTGTGGTGCTGCCCACCTCGAGGGTGGCTATCTTTTCGTCATTCGAGCTGCGACTGAAGGAGAAGCGCAGTGGCAAGCGCACAGTCACCGAATTGGATTCCTCATCGTCGTCATCGACATTCGCTTCATTTTTGTCATTGTCCTCGATTTGCTGATCCAAGTCATCATCTTCCTCGACTTGGGGATCTCCTATTGTGGCATTGCTTGCACTTGATCCATTCCGATTGATTACTGTCCTGGCATAGTTGCTGCTGCGTTCCATCTCGCTCTCCTCCTCGTATATGGTGCTCAGATCCTCCTCGACGGCGTACTCTTCTTCCTCTACCTGCTCCTCCTCGTCAACCATTTCATCGGCTGTTGTCACATCCTCATCCTCACTCTCGGAGTCCAGCTGCTCGACGAGCACCTTACCCAGTCCCTTGTAGACCTGTATGTTGGTCACCGACTTGATGGCCTGCAGTGGCGCGTGCTTGGGTGTGTCCGTATCTTCCTCGTCCTCATCGCTGCTATCCTCCGACTCTGTCTCACTGTCGTCATCGTCCACTCCGACTGTGATCTGCACCGGCGAGGCATTCTCGCTAGGCGAGCATGCGCCCAACTCCTTGAGCTGTTCGCCCGCGTAGTCCTTCTGGACCTGCTTCGACAGATTGGCTTGGGTATTGCCTCCGGCAATTTTATTGATGTTGGCCAGTCGCTGGGTGAGCATATCGATGACCTGCTCGTTGTTGCTGCAGATGTTGCGAGCCTTCGGCCGGCTTACCAGCTCCTCAATTTCGACAGAGTGCGCGCGCTTGGAAGGCTCACGGGGCTCCACCTTGATGTGGTGCTGCATTATGACCTTCGAGGGCGTATCATCAGTGCTGGGGGTTATAATAATATCGGGCAATACACTGCTGGCACGGCTTTCAGTTGAGCTTTGGCTAAAGCTAGGCGCTACCGGATAGGGATAGGGGCCATAGGGCGGTACGAACTGGGGAAACTGCGCATCACCGGGCATGCCTGGCTGGCCATAGACTGGCGGCGGGGGTAGATAGTAGGGATAGTAATAGGGATAGGCCTGATTCATGTCTGGCTGTTTGCCATCTGCGGATGGGGGCATGGGTGGCGGGGCATAGGGATAGGCATAGGGCCAGTTTAGGACTTGAGGCTGATCCCCATTGACTTGCCCTGCTGCTGGATGAGGAGGGGGAGGGGGTGCCATATACCAGGGGAAGGGATAACCATAAGCATAGGGATATTGGGGAGGCACCGATTGGGAGCGCTCCGGCTGCTTAGATGCCGGATAAGAGCTGTCTGAGCTAAGGGATGTGTTGGATGAATATGAGCCATGAGAAGTGCTTGTATTTGTGTCTGTGGTGGGCGGTGGAGTGGGTGTGGTTGATGTGTAACTATGACGTTTATTGATATTATTGTTAATTTCTCGATTATGGTTACTTTTACTGGTGTTATCATTATTCTCATTATTGTGATTAATAATATTATGATTATTATTATTATTATCATTATTATTATTATTATTATTATTATTGGCTTCGTTCAATTCAATATTTTCCAAATCCGAGTCCAGCTCGGTGTGAATTTTATGTTCTGAGGTCGGTTTGGTGCACGGTTATCAAAAATAAATAAAAAAAAAAAAGAAAGAAGAAAAGATATAGACACGGTGAGAGTGCATATTATGATCAATACACCAACAATTTGGACTGTGAATGTTATACGGATTAAACGATCGAGCAAAGCCACTAACTATATACAGACTTCAATATCCGCTTATGCATAGGGATGTGTCTCTGTATGTATGCGTGTGTGGATGATATGGATGCATGATGTAGGTGTACATGGACATGAGTCGTATAATCGATATATTCAGATTGATCATTCAGATTGCAACTCAACATGCTTCCTTCCCAAGTGAAGGATCCAACAACTCGTATGGTTAAGAGTCAATGCAAAACAAAATGATTTTCAAGAAAGGTGAAATCTCTCAATAGGTAGAATACAATCAAGAACACTGTGAAAAATAACATGATGCAAGGTATACGTATAAATGTGAATATACATACGTGTACTCAATGTGATCGTGCGAGTGTGTGTGTATTTGTTAGTGAATGTCTATAATGGCATATATACAAGTTGTCTTAGCCGAGAGGCTAAACGTCGCGTGTTGATCAGGTGTGCGTGTGCATGTGTGTGTGATATATAATAATGAAATAATAGAGATCATCCCGTTTTCTTGCTGTGTACTTTACTTTATCGAAGACTTACCGGCATTCTCTGGTGTTGTCATTGCCTGTAGAATCTTAAATGATCGACTTGGTATTGCGCTTCCGGTATATTTTTTCGGTTCCGGTACCTGTTGCTCACTGGGTGGCACGTATTGCTGTTGGGGTGTATCTAGAGAGATGAAACACAGCTTCAAATAGAGATTTACATACAAAGAATTCTCTCCCACTCACCGTATGGAGAACGCTGTGGTGTAAAGCGGTTCTGAGTGGTTGCGCCGTTACCTGCAATCAAATGGAAAGCATTTCACATCATTTTAGTCTTAGGCTAATTTGGATTTCATTGCGTTTAGTAGTGCTGGCAATTTTGACTCGAGTTCTAAGGCGTTGCCATATACTCATGGCGGACTACACAGGAAGCGTATTAGTTTCTCTTGTTCCAGACGGTTTTGTTGTGGCTCAAAGCATTGAATTAGTACAATTAACCATTTCAGGATTAGACTGCGAGACCCAGACCCAGACCCGAACCCAGATGAAGATCAAGGGATACCGAATCGACGAAACCTTACAACTCTCTCGCTCTCCTTTTCCCTTACCCGTCCGGCGCACTGGGGAAATGGGGCGTTGGGGCTCACCTTGCGGGGACCAGGCTTGTGGTGTGCCCGACTGCTGATCCTGTGCGATTTGCAGTCGCCTCATTTGCTCAATGGTCGGACTATTGCGCGCCTGCTGGGCGCTCATCTGGCGAGCGAACTGCGGCCGCTGCAGCTGCGGCGCCTCCACGTCCGCTTGGGGCTGTTGCACGGGCCGGGACTCGAGGGTGCCACCGTCGTCCACCGTATCGGTTATCTTTTGCAATATTCTAAACGATTTCGATTGTATGGGCGGTGAGCGTGGATCGCTGCAAGTAGATATAGGCGAATGTTAGGTTATGTTCTTGGTTAGCATGCACAAGATATTAGATGTCGGAAGACCAAATTACATCATTTATATGGGCTGTGAAAGCGTGGGGTTAACTGAAACTGAATGCAGAGTCGATTGATTGAGAATTTGTGGGAGATCGCTTGGATCGGATGTTGATGACTAGGGGAGTTCCCCCAGCAAGGGGATTCCCCATCACAATGATTATGCTGGAATGTTATGCAAATAAGAGACGCACGCACACAACATTTACGAACGGATTCAACGGGATCTGGAGCAGAGTTGAGCTGCTCCAAGTCCCATTGTTAGAGTCTTAGACGACGGCGACGACGACTGTACTGTGACTGTACTACCTGAGTCGGTTCTTTCTGTAGTTTATCTCAGCCTCGAGCGGACACTGATGCACATACAAATTGTAATTGGCACTGAAAGTCGCGGTAAGTCGTTAGGTTTTGTAAAGAAGCACAAAATTTAAACGCATTAGTGCTGGGTAGTGGTGCATAACTAGTTATTTCAGTGTTGGTCAAGCACAAAAAACACTTTAGTATTGTAAGTAAAACTTCAGTTTGCACTTACTTTTGCAGCACGACGGGTGACTGGGACACGGGACCTCCGCGACCTCCCTCAATGGCGATGGGTATGATCCGTGTTGAATTGTTGTTGTTGCTGTTACTGTTGCTGTTGTTGCTGTGATTCGAGGCAACAAAGTGATGTTGCTGCTGCTGGGGACTGGGCGACACTCCTGAGGCTGGATAGTTGTTGTAACCTTGATCGACAAATTGATTAGCTGAGCGTATTATGTGGCCAGCAGGCGCTTTCGTAGGAAAGAAAGAGTATACATAGACACATATTGATATCGAGATGGAAAGTTACACAGTGGGACAGTAGACTGGGAGCATCGAGGTATGTGTTGGAGAGTGCAAGGGTTCGCATTCGGGGTAGAGGAGGCTAGACTACTGGGTACGGGGCTGGTTTAGTAACGAACATTTAGGATGTTTAAGAAAGCGCCATACAGGGTATTAAAGAACAGACACAAAAAAAAAAACAAAAAACTAAACACCGATTACAACATCTTCAAACTTACCACCGAAGTTGGGCTGAGCCGCGGCATATGTTGGGGTTTGTTCCAATGTAATGGGTATGATGCGCTCCTACAAATAATCAAGTTAGCATTTATGTTAGATACCCTGTTATCAGGTGAGTTACCCTTGGGCCACTCTGGCTCGCATTGCTGTTGTTGATCTGCAATCGCAATCCACTCTGCTGAGCTGTTGACCCAAAGTTCTGCTGAGCAGCCGGACCGGGAGACGAAGCTCTCTCATAGCCGTTGCCCTGCATCTGCATCTGACTCGGCATCTGGGCCTGATAGAACGTGCTTGTGGGCTGCGCTTGCGTTGGCGCCGACGGAGAGGCTGTCTGTCGCAGCGACGAGGGCATCACATTGCCATTCTCTTCGGGACGTGCCCAGGGCGCCTGCTCCTTGGCCGTGGGCTGTGAGCTAAGCCAGCGCAGGGGCTGACCGCCCACCTGTTGCTGTGATGATTGCTGCTGCTGTTGTTGCTGTTGCTGCTGCGGTAATTGTCGCATGGGCGAGTCACGAGCTCCCGACAACTGTTGCTGCTGCAGCAAGAGACGCTGGGCCTGCGGCTCTGTGGGCTGCGCCAGCGGAGCAATGTAAAGTGAGCCAACGTTAGTCTGCCAAAATAAAATAGTAAAGTATTGTTTAAGAAGAAGAAGCATAATTGAGAACTAAAAGCTGTGCATAATTGTATTCATATATTATAAGCAATCTGCCTACATTCGACATAAGGATTCATCCCGAATTCTCTTCAAGCTTTACCAAGATATCTTATACATATAAACAGCAGCTAAACCTAACTTAAAATCTTATATAAAAGTACTCATATATGAGCATTCTAACTAATGTCTCTATAAATATGCTCATTACTCTTTATATATTTGCTCTTATTTAGTCAAGGATAAACAAGATATTTTTGAGACTATAGTTTGCTTTTGAATTACTGATTTCAACTAATTAACGTTGTAAATTAATCGTCTATAATCATTAATCATACTTTTACTTCAATATAGAAATAGCAAAAAGAATAAATGGGATACTCGGATATTTGCAATAAGAAATCTTTCAACTAGTCCCAGAGTAAGCACGCCAGTGTATTACTAAAAATGAAACACTATACACAAAAAATGTATATTATAAATTAAAGAATACGAAATCATTCACATAAAATAATTTCCTTCTCTTTCTGTTCTCTGTCTGTATTTGGCACATGCTTATAAATTAATTTGTTTAAGAAAAATTCTCTTCAAACATATTTATATATTTTCGCAATTTATATTTATATATTTGCTAATTTTCTTATTTACCCTATTGTATATATAGTTTTTGATACATAAATATATAAATATTTATATACGTATGCTTAAATATATAATTTCATGATATTTTCTAAATATTCTTATTGGTATTAAGACATAAATTTGTACTCAACTAAATTATATGAAGAAAACTATTCATAAAATAAGTAGCCATGCTAGTATTTGTTCATCCATAGGAAAATAAATAATATGAATATACATATATATTATTAAATAAATAGCAATCTATTCCCGTAAATTAAAAATAGTAAAATAAAAAATTAAAGTAAAGTAACTCAACTGGGAATATTTAAATTATTTAATATGCTATTTTGATTTACTAAGAAAAACAAAATAGTACTGGCCAATGAGATTTATATCCAGCATTATTCTTAGAAGATTATTATATCCAGCATTAACATTTCTATGAAGACTCGCTTCGCTCGACAGCTCTTTAAAATCGTTAAAAAAAACACTCTTCTTTAAATTCCATTCCAAACTAGTAATACATTATTAAAAACTCTATCTACATACACACATATATTTCAAGAAAATGTATTTGATAAGTATCATATGCTTGCTTTCCCCTACAATTCATTGTTCAATAATAAATATATATAAATAATAAATATATGTAAAGGTACAACTTTGTAGTTATTAAGAATCTAACGATCTTTCAAGTACAAAATGCAGTTCATGATTAGAATATTATTCGCTTCATTGCAGTGGCAATGCATTTGTCGCCAACGGTCAACGCGTCGATTGCCTCAAGTTCAAAATTCGTGTTTGGCCTTTGGCAATATTTAATTTTAGATGCTGCAGCAGCTACGAATTGCGTTCAATGTTCAAGACGCAGAGCGAAATCTGTTGCTGTTGATGATTGGCTAAAAATAGATGTGAGTGCTTCCGTGAATGCGCCAGAACAAATCACAGACATTCGACGGCAGTAAATTGTTGCTCTTGCAATCTTGCGCTTCATATGAATAGGTTATAAATGATATTACTCATACGCCCCGAAACTGAATTGCCCAATGCTTAAGCGAGTGAGCAAACGTCTGGAAAGGTCAAGGTAATGTGGGTATTACACAGTTTTTAAACACTTACCGGCTTAACACCTTGATAGGGCGATTGTTGTTGCTGTTGCTGATGTGCATTGAAAGATGTTGCTGTTGCTGGCTCGACTCTGGCCGGACTGAAAACATCGCGAGATCTTTGCACATTGTTGTAAATGGGCTGTGAATGCGTTGGCTGCTGTTGCTGTTGCTGTTGTGGTTGTTGTTGTTGCTGCTGCTGTTGTTGTTGTTGTTGTTGTGGTGCAGCGGACTGGGCGCGTTGCGTACGCCAAGGCACAGTTTGGGCAGACTGCTGCTGCTGCTGCTGCTGCTGCTGCTGGTGCTGTTGTGGCTGAGCCAGCGGCGAGATGGCTGGCGATGGACGTGACTGCTGCTGCTGCTGCTGTGCCAGTGGAGAAATGGCCGTGGGTGAACGAGGCTGCTGCTGCTGCTGCTGTTGCTGCTGTGCAAAGCGGAAGGGACTCTCCGTGGCACGCTGCTGTTGCTGTTGCATCTGCTGCTGTTGCTGCTGCTCGAAGGGCGAGCGCGGACTCTCTGTTTGCCGCGTGTAGACATTTACAGCTGGCGATTGCGGCATGGGCACACTGCGGAACTCCTGACGTTGCTGCTGCGGCGGTGTTGCCGGTGGCGTCGGCTGCTGCAACTGTTGCTGCAGTGGCGGTGTTTTGGGTGAAGGTTGCTGCTGCTGCTGCTGCTGTGTTGATGGTGCATAGGGACTGTAACTGTTGCTGTTGCTGTTGCCAATGCTGTTGTTGTTGTTGTAGTTACCATTGCTGTAGCTGTTGCCAGCTGGCTTGTAGGCTGCAGGAATAGACGAAACTGGGATTAGAATTGCTGCAGGTGGAGGATAGAGAAGGTGATTTTGTGTTTAGTGCCGTTAGTGGGGAATTGCCAATAAAGAGAGATGTCGCTTGATGTCTGGGATTAGTCAGATGTGGTTTTTAAAGCACCAGATACCGCTTAGTAATTAGCCGGCGAGCGACATGAGGCGAGCCGCGGGCCAAGAACTGTACCAAGAGAACTTTGGCCCACTCGAGAGTGGGGTTAGAGTGTGACCCAGAACCAAAACCGAAACCAATAACTAAAAGCCAGCGAAATGATGAGATATCCGAAGAGTTTCTCGCTCTCCCTCTCTCTCGCTCTGCTCACCATCTACGGCATCTTGGCTGTTGCTGTTGTTGTTGTTGTTATTGCTGTTGCTGCTGTTGTAGTCGCCATTGCCGTTCTGAGCTGGCTCCGGCAGCGGGCTCTTGGAGCGCTCCTTGCAATACTCATCCTTCCAGAAGAAGTTCTTCTCCACAGGAGGCGGCACTTTGCGCAGCGCCGCCATCGGATTGGGCGGTATCTTGATCTCGGGCCGGAAGCCCAACGGCGGCGGCTCGAAACGCTGCGGTGTTGGCGATTTGCGTGCCGCTGCCGGCGAACCGGGCGCACTGCCCCGGCCCGCTGGTGGTGCTAGTGTGCTTTGTTGTGGGGGTGGCGGTGGGGGTGCAGCATGGTTACCGTTCTTACCCGTCTGTGATTGCGCCTGCGGTTGCGGCGGCGGCGGCGGTGGCAGCACCTGGAACGGCATGCCCATTGCAGCGGCGCCCATCGTGCTGGCCGCGCTGCCAGGAGTGACGCCCGGCGAAGACTGCGGCGATGGTCTGTTCTGTTGGGAGGCGCCCGTGGCGCCCTCGTTTTGGGCGTTGCGCGCCAAGCGCTTGGCCATGCGCTCCGATCGGATCTGGGAGAGATCGATGCCGCCGGGCGTGTAGGTGAAGGGCTTTTTGTCTTTCGTCATCATGGCGTTTTGCACACAGGCGGGTGCCTCATAGCCGCCGCCTCCTCCAGCGCCTCCGCCGCGTTGTCCATACCTGTTTGCCGAGGGGGAGAGGGAGAGAGAGAGAGAGAGAGACATTCATTAGCATATTGCGATTGATTGTGGTCATCGAACGGTTTCATTTTCATGTAAATTTCGTGATTCTTGTGAAGCATCTCGAGTGGCTTTGTACGCCTCCTCGATTTCTGGCTATTTATCATATGTTTGACTTAATCTTTTGTTATTAACTGTTTCATATTGACGCTCCATGCGAAAGAGCCCCCATTTATCTGACCACATTTCAAGATCTTTCTTTTTTTTTTTTTATCAAACTGCTTGACTAATGACTCGCCCCATCGACAGTTGAATGAGCCAATTTTTTCTTGGCAATTTTTTTATTTTTTGAGCGGGGGAAAGTGAGCTGAAGATGCTGCCACTGGCATCTATTGCCACTTATTAGTCAAAGAGCTGTCCCTAGGGCCATAACGGCCAGCTGTTGAAAGTGAGAGCTTGGGCAATATGAACGAATCTCGAGCAAAAAAGCAATTAAGAAAATGATTAAAAAAACATTAAAAAGTAAAACCGCGCCAAAGAACACAAGTATTTGCTCATTTGTGTTTTCATTTCCACAAAGTACAGAGATTTGTATGGAGGCGCGTTGCTATTAGATCAAACAATAATAATAAATCATGGGAATGACTTTAGATATATACATACATGTATAAGTAAAGAGAGAATAGCAAAGCAAATAAGCTAAGTCAAACAGCTATTTTCTTATTAGAAAAAGTCTTAATGGCTTTAGCAACAAGTCCTATATTGCCCTCTCACTCCCTCTATCTGCTAATTTCAACTTCGCATTCTGCTTCACTCACGCTTCCCTAAAATAGTATGCTTCTACTATTAATCAATCTTGTTACAACGCAACATTACACTATTAATAATGAATTATTCAATCAATGTGAAAGTCAACTCGAACTTGAAACTTGTCTCAGAGCTAATGACGCAATGTTGCTTTTTATAGGTTTTTCAAATATATTATATATAATATATACATATATGCAAATTAAACAATGGAGATAAGTAAGAGCAACTATGTACCGACTCGTCATTTTAGTCACACATACATACAGAATATTTTCAAATATGCGTGAGCGCTTCAAATTCTAATGTTTACTAAAATGAAGGCTCTTACTAAATTGTCTGCGCATGACATCATAATTTTGCGTGCACTGTGTTAGATATGCCATATGAAACTTATTAAACAAATGACGTCACAATGTCTGCAATTCACGCTCTCACTCTGCGAATCTATATGCAAGCTGCACTACTTGTCTCTTTTCTTTGCATGCCATAAGGCTGAAGACAATCAAAGGGAAGGACGAAATTACAAATTTCCCATATTTCAATTCTCTCAAACATTTTACTGTCTGCTGTCATATGCATTAAAAGGCACTTAACGGCTCTACTCACATTCCTACTCATATACACATGTACGCATGTACATATGTATGTATGTATGAATCCTCATATATATGCAAATATATGTAATATATACATACATAAATATGTAGAATGCAAAATTAAAATATGGAATGATTTATAAATCGTGGTATTTAAATTATTTATTTCTATTTTTGTTATATCTTTTTACGATTGGTTGTAAACGTTGGCAACAGATAAATTATTGGATTTGTTGATGTTGCTAAAAAGCTCTTTCATAACTGTATACCCTCTGCTATGTGGATTGATGTACATACATATGTATGTATGTATATTAATTCAAGCGTGTCTCGCCCTCGCATATTAAAGATATTAATATGGTAAGTAAACTGTAAAGACGATTAATTTAGCATTTGCAAAATATCAGAATGCTGTAAATTAACAATCTAATGTATTTGAAGACTTCTTTAAACCTGAACTTATTTAACATTAGTTTTAATTAGACAGCAATGTTTTCGCACAAACTAATTTATTTCAATGATAATTACTTAACTCATGTGTAATTCTTGATTGCAATATATTTTAAATATTTTGGTTGTTATAAATAAGCTAATAATATTTATACATTTCAAAAAATAAATAACAATTTGTAAAATTATATTAAAATCTTAATTATTCTTCAAATATAAATTCTCATGAAATGAATTTCAATAACTACTTCAAAATAAAACGATTCATGTGTAACATGTGTATATTAAATGTTTAACAGAACCACCGATGAATAATAACGTAAATACGAATAAATATTCGAGCTAGCCATACATATATAATTATATGTATATTTATATATATTCATATGTAGTTATCCCATATATTGCACCAAGTTCAGTTAGGAGGAAATGCGCATTACATTGCACAACAGCTCAAATCTGGCAGCTTTCTAGGCTTGTCAGGCTTTAATAATAATACTCATAAATGCGCTGCTCCCCCTTAAATGGCCAGGTCTACAAACATATTTGCAAGCGCAAACAGTTAACGGGTTAGTTAAGCCAAATGAGTTTCCTAGCTGGCCATAATCGTTAGGTGCAATGGACCCGAGTGGGGGGAAAGCAACAGGGGCGAACAAACAACGACCCGAACGACCTTACGATTTTGGCCTAGCCTGGAAATTGAGCCGAAAGAGTAATCAATGGCAAGTTCAAGTTTTCGCTGTCTGCCACTTGCTTCGCATAGCGCACCATAATTCCAGCTGGATTAATATGGTCATTCCGCATATCGCAGATGACATTTCTGCAATACTTAAATACAAATACAGAAATTCACAACAAGTGTGACTATGTGCATGTGTGTGTGTGTGAGTGTGTGTGTGTATCGCCTCGTATTCGGACTCAATTAGAGTCAACTTTGTTTGTCATCGACCGCAGCCAGTTACGTCACAGTACGACTGAGGCTTGGATTTGCATTTGACATTGATGCACTCGCTCCAATTTGTATGTAAAGCGGATTGCGGATTGCGGATTGTGGATTGTGAATTGTGGGATTGCCGCACTCGTGAATCGTTGTTGTGGGTGCTGGGCTTTTGCAATTTGCTGTCTATGGTTGTGTGTGTGCGTGTGTGTGTGGTTTGCCTTCGCATTTGCGGTTTGAGTGCTCGGAACGGGCACATGGAAAAGTGCTGGCAACAGTTTAGCGACGTCTGTGCCACGACCAAACACTTGGCGCTTCTCGCAACACCTGTTCCTGTTCGCCTGACCCACTTAGCCAAGTTGTTAAAAGCGAATCATGCGTATCCTATGCCATGGCTGTGACTGTATGTCTCTTGCTGTATGCTCACATAAAAACTAATGAAGCTGACAGGCGACAGTCTAACAGGCCGGCTGGCCAGTGGACCAACAGTCCAATGGACCAACAGGCCCGACAACTTTTCAGAACCCCAATACCAGCCAGCCAGAGAGACAGAGCGAGAGCGAGTGAACGAACGAGAGAGATGCACGCGCCTGGCCAACAAAGCAACAGCCCATCACTTTCTTTTGGCCACAACTCGCTGGCCATCTGATGCTTTCTGGGCCTATGCTAACTACACACGGCCGACGACAGCGTCTTTAGCATTCGCTTTTAATTAGCAGACGTCAACGTTAACCGCGACTAAATTAAGCAAATTATGCGGAGAAAAGTCGCAAACAAATAACTAGGCGAAATCTTACTGTTTATGCTGTAAATCGAAATTGTTTGATAAAAATCTTATTTCAATCTTTTCTCTACGGAATTCAAATAAAAATCATCTCTTAAAACAAAATTAAAGTTTTTAATTGACTTGACTCATATTTAATATATAAAGAAAATGTTGGGAAAGCTGTCAAGAGTTTTTTCTTTTAAATTTCCAAAAAACGTGCCTATTACATACATTTAGCCCTTAGCTATTATACCACGATTTCCGATTTTCGATGAGTGCTGACTATAAAGAATAGCAAGAAATTTAAATCTAAAAATAATCTAAAAAGTCTAGCACAGCTTCCCAGTTAATAGGTTTATTGTCCTTCCCTTAGTGTTGACGTCATGGTCTGCAATTTGCTTTTATTTTTCCACTCACACGTGTGCTAAACAAATCGACCCAAGTCAATTCTTAAAAGAAAATAATTAGAAAAGAAAAACTTTGTTTTCTGTGTATGTGAAATTATTGAGAACAAAGATCGAACGACAGCGCCGTCCGCTGACGTCAATCTGTCAGGAAAATGGACCAAAGAGCTACAGCCAGAGCTAGAGCTAGACAAGTTCAGGAAGGCAACTAGATCAGCAGCTGATTTTGACAGCAGCGGCAATTAAGATGTCAGGAAGAACTGAACCAAAAATAAGAAAAAAGTCAACAAAGTGCAAAGTCAGTGTGGATTGGAACTAAGCAAATAATAAGCTGCACGTTTTTCATGATCCACTTAAAGTATTTTCATATGAATCACTGATCCAATTCAGTGACATTTGCAATTTGCATTCGTTAAAAATAGAAGCTGCTGTACAGATACATATACACACACATATATATTTGTATATATTAGAGGTGAGAAATATAGACCAAAAATAATATCGTAGAGGCAGGCAGAGGCCATTAGCAGCTGGCGTGAGTTGCGTTTTATGAAAATAGCTGAAAGTCAAATGCAGAAATGTACAAAACAAAAACAAAAAAAAAAGATCAGGAAAATTATAGAAAAACATCTGTACAATTTACATTTTCACTTTTTGCGCGCATGCAAATGAGCGTGAAAAAATGTTCAATCCATGAGGAAAAAAAAATGAAATTGAAACAAAAACTGGATCTGTGAGATCAGCTCCACTGGCAGTGGCCAGTTCTGTGCATATTTCAAGATCAAGGGCAACACAAGCACACAGAGAGAGAAAGAGAGAGAGAGATAGACAGAGTGAGCGAGCGAGAGATAGACAGACACAACTTGAAAGCTGCCACATGCAACATGACATAATGATAGTCATTGTCCGCCTGCCAGCCAGCGACTGGGTCTATAAATAGAGTTAGAGCACTACAGGGTGCCTCGTATGAGTTGCACATTCCAGGCGCAGCTAATCTCACACAAAATATTTACATAGAAATTCTTTTTTTTTTTTTTTTTTGCGCACCAGAGAAGAGAAATTCTTATCTCGCTCAGCTGTCATAAATCGCTGTGGATTCAGCGCAGCCCCCGGCCTAGCCTACTTACGTGTCCACCAGGCATTCTTTGTCTTGGCCATTCTGCTGCAGCGGAGCCAGCGGCAGCTCCAGCTGAAATCCACGATCCTCGCGCACCATATAGGCGGGCAGCGTCTCGATTATGGCATTGGCCTTATCATTATACGAGCCCAACAGCTCCCGATACTTGGAGTAGACGACGCGTTTCAGTTGCGGATTCTTGATCGCAGCCGGACTCGACGTATTCGATGTCGCACTCAGCGTGGAAGTTGCCATTGTCTTGTTGTATTTGTAATTTATATGGCTATTATTATGTTATCTTAATATTATTGCACTTGTGGGTAAACCGTAATCAGGCACTTTGCATAGCTCTCGAATGAATCAAACTGCGATGTCAATCAAACAAACGATTTTGTTTACAACTTTATATATGTTAATCAATATCAAAAGGAATATGAGTAGAGAAGATCGGAGATCGAAGAGCAGAGATCGGAAATTGGTATAAGTATATACTGAATAAATGAACCTGAGATATAACTCAAATAAACGATTTTGTTTACAACTTTATAAACGTTTTTTAATATCAAAGGAATTGAAAGAGATCGAAAATCGGATATCAGAGTCTGATATATACTGAATGAATAAAACTTCGATGCCAATCAATTTAAGTGATTCAATATCAAAAGGAGTTTGATCGAAGATTGAAGATCGATCGGTAATCGAAGTTTGGTATAACTTTATACTTTAGATATATTTACGACTTCTGTTCATGCTGCTGTCTCATTTGCTCACAGATAAGCTGTCAGATAGTATAGAAAAATATATGTAACATAGAGTTATTATTACTATTATTATTATTTTTTTTATGTTTTTTTTTTTTTTTTTTTTTTTGTGTGCAACTATTGACTTAGTCAAACAAAGGCGCCGAGGTGAAGCAATAAGTCAGAGAGACCTAAGCAATGGGCAGGAACTGACTCAGACACACGGTCGATCGACCGATCGACTGGCTGGGACCTAGGCTTTTGATGACTCACAATCAGAACTACAACAACAACAGCAATTACAACAACAACAGCAGCGGCAGCTTCATTATGAGCATCTTTATCAACATAAAGTTTGCCGGCAGCTGTTTTGTATCTGAGAGATATGTACGCGCACACTCGAGCAATATTATATTTGGGAGTTCGTTTGTTTGCTTGATTGAGCAGCCGTGAGATACATAGAACAACAGTTAGAGAGTGAGCTTACGGCAGTTGTTGTCAATTAGCACTTAAATACTTGACACACGCACACACACACGCACACCATTCAATGCTCTTCAGCGACGATCAGCGCGGCACAAAAGTATCTACGAGCTGCGATCGGAAGTATCTGTAACTGGAGGCGCACCGCGCGACTGCACAGAGCAAAGTCTCGAAGCACTTTGAAGCCGAGTTCGTTCGACTCGCAACTTCGATGCCGACCGCAGCAGCGCTACCGACGTCGACGTCGCTGTCGACGTTGGCGTTGGCGTTAGCAACTTGTTGCAGATACATTTGTGTGTGGTGGAGGCCGCGCTGTTGTAACTCTGCAAAAGGAAAGCCGAGTGCATGACAAACGTTCGGCTGGCACGCGGCGTCGGCAACGGCTGCTGTATCTGCAAGATACAAGATACACGGCTAGCTGCCCGCCTGGCTGTGGAGCAATTTATATGTCTGTCAATTCGCTGGCAAGTTGTTGGACAGCCGATCGCCGCGACTGGCATTTCAAACGCGGCGACAAATTTAAAGCTAAACGCCAAACGCCAAACGGCAAACGGCAAACGCTTTCGACTTTTTGTCGAATATCTTGTCTCTTGTATCTTGTATCTCGGATCTTGTATCTGCGTCTGTTATCGTGCGGTTAATTGTTTACGTTTTGGTAGTCATGTCGTCTGCTTATTACTTTTGTAGCTTTTCATAATTAAAACGACATTTATCTCGGCTACCCAGCTTTTGTCTTTCCCCCATTTCGTTATCTTCCCACATTCGCCACGCAATTTCGTGGTCGTTTTTTTTTTTAAGGCGTGTTTTGGCGAAAACAATAAAATATCAACAACAACAACGAATGTCTTTAGCCTGCAGCCCTAAGTGAACGCACAAGCTGCGGAAATACGACATGACTAGCCTTGAGATACAAATGTATCTGGCGACTGATAGCACCGTAATTATTATCTCTCTTCACCCACAAATATACTAACTACTTAGAAAGTATCACAAAAAGATTACAGAGACCAAAAACAGATCGTACGGCAAAATTGGATTCCAGTGGGATTCCCGTAAGCGAAAAGACGACGCTAGGGTTTATTAGTGTTATTACTAGAATTTTCACATTATATAAATGCATATTTATATATGTTATGCATGCGAATAACAAAAGCAGCAAAGTTGTACTAGACACGATTATAATCCTTGATCATTAATCTAGTTCATTGTTTAAGATATCTTATAAAAATATCTAATTACACAATAACTGATACTTTATGTCTCAAATATTAATATTAAATACTTCATTTGAGAAGCTTAAGCTGAGTTTGGACTTGGGTATAGGTGTAGACTCTTAATATATATATATGTGTTCTTTTTATTAGACGATAAAGATATACATTGTAGAAGAATTATTAATTATATAGTTTATTTTTATTTACTTATGTATTTTGCATTGTTCATCAGACATGTTAAAATTGAAATGTCAAGCAAACTGACAGGAAAATAAATTGCACTGATAAATAATGTAATTCAGAAGCAAAACTAATAAACTAATAACGGATCTTAAACAAGCTTTAAGTTGAATTCGCTCTGCTGTTTTGCCGTAGAATAAGTAAGAATAAATAAGTCTACCAGTCAAACCAAACTTAACGAAAAGCAACTCAATCAGCTGTTCTCATATAAAGTGCTGCCAATCAAAAGTTTTCAACCTCCAAAGAGACACCCTGTATTATAGGGTAAACTGAGTACGATAAAAACGCAATTGCAGTGAACTGAAAAGATATTGTGATATTTAAATACACTACCCAGAATATATATATACATATATATGTATGTATGTCGGTCTGTCTACAACTATTCCATATATTATATTGTACTTCACTCATAATAAATAATACTATTTCAATTTTAATTTTGCATAACTCGACTAGCGCCTAGTAGCGCCTAGTAGTACCACCATACAACACATACGATTATATGGCTAATAGGGCTATCAAAATTTTAGCTTCGGAAGAATCTCGGTTTGTTAAGAAATAAAAACGTATATTTCAGCTCGGGTAGTTCAACTTTGCTCTACGATGATGTCGGACTTTACAAAGACTCACAATTTTAAAAAATTTCAAATAATTTTATATGTCATTCATAACTTCAATATACTAAAAGTATATTGCATATTGACAAAATATGTGGATTAATAATAAAGACATCGCAATAAATTTGGTTTCAAACTTCCAATAATCGATATTAAAAGAACTATTAGGGCTGCATCAACTGTCGTCACGAATCCTTCGTGGCAGCTGAAGTTTATAATTACGTTGAGCGAAGTTTTAGAAGAGAAGTTTTCCAAATTATGGTAAGTCACTTGACCCAGCTGCTGCATCAACAACATTCCATATCCATATCAATTCCTCGTAGAATGCGTTCGCCCACTTGGATCTCTTTGATGGCATACCAGCCAAATGCCCCGTGAAGGGCTGCTACCTGAAGATGACGCCCCAGGAGCTGATGGCGCATGTGCTGATGCGTCATCGGCCCGAGGACTCGATGCTGGAGATTGGCGCCGACTGGCACACGGTGTACGACCTGGACCTGGCCAAGCTGGCGCCCGGCTGCAATCACGTGGTGGGCGTCATTGCGTATGCCGGCTCCAACAGAGTGAGTTGCAGCCGTCCCATCGGACCGGAGCTGCAGCTCGTGAATCATCTGCCCATATTGCTAATGATGTACATCAGCCCGCCGGCGCCCAATCTGGAGCAGATGTACGTGCTCTATATGATAAGTCCGGTGGCCTCGCGCCGGGTAAGCGCCCATGTCAGCCTGCTGAACGGGCCGGTGGGCCGCGAGGTGCGGGGCGTGCGCTGCCTGCGCAATTTCTTGGATCCCCCGCTGCTGGACAGCGAGGAGCTGCTCCACAGCAACATGGACTACCTGATCTACACGGCAACGGACGTCTGGGAGCACTGCACCGCCGGCGACCGCTGCAAGCTCCAGTTCAAGGTGGTGCTGCAGGGTGAGCCGAATCTGTTCGAAGCGCAGGAGAATCGTCAAAGCGACGCCCAATGACTCAACGCCGTCGGATGCCAAACAGCTGGCCCACAGACTAACCCCCGCCCTCCCTCCTACCTCTAAAAAAAAAAAAAAAAAAAAAAAAAAAAAAAACTATCGAATCCATTGACGCACTCTTGCGGGCCTGAGTGCCTGTCAATAATACTTTGCTCTTGTTGTTGTTGTTGTTATTGAATGAAACGTTGTTTAGCTGTCAGAAATTGGTTTCAACTTATTCATTCAATAATTTCTTGGCTCGCCGAAAAGTGGGTCACACTCGAATGCGCCCAGCCAGACACCAGACACAGATAGATACCAAACTCTTACAACAACCACAGATCTCTGGACAGCCGGCTCAGCAATCAATCAACAAGGGCTACCTAATTGAATGGCCATTGATATCGACTGTGGCCGGAGTAAATTAGCTGCTAAATGATTTTTCTCTCTTGCCAAACAATTTGTTTTCTAAACAAATTTTCCGACTTATTTTGTTGGCCTAATTTGTTTTTGACTGGTTTAAATCATTTTAAAATTTATAATGAGATTGAATGAGTTCTTGGACAGCTTTGCAAAATTAAAAAAAAAAAAAAAAAAAAAAAAAAAAAAAAACAATTAAAAAAAAAATATATATATACATATATTTATAATAATAAATAGTATAATGCTATTTTCGACACTCTATAATGTATATCAGAATTCTATTTAAGCAAACTCTGGTTTCTGGCAGTTTCTATATATTGCCTTTAAGCTGGAACCGAAAATTTTTATTTTTGTATTAGTCGACTCCTTCCGTATCTTTCATCTTTATTGAATTATAAAGCAATCCTTAAAGTTTTCTGATGTTCTATTCATTTCTCAGTTACCTTAAAGAATCTTAATTTCATAGTCCTTCTAGAACAACCGATCCAATTTATATGAATTAATGTAATTAAAATTAATGTCAATGGGCTATTATTATGTGTCGAGCTCATTTCATGTCTTATGCATTTAGTTTAATTAAGTTTAATATATTCCCATAAGTACTCTCTATGAACTTAATACAATACCAGATTTCAGCGACATAGATTGCTTGAGGGGACAAACTTTTTCTTATTTTCTTTCACTATTTCGCATTTTGATTTAATGGATTTTGCCATCTCTTTATTTTTTGTAGTCAATCTCCCTCACATATGTATGCATATCAGTTTGTTCATCTTCCATTCTAATTGTATGATTTTTATTGTATATTTCTGCTGCTTTTAGAACGTCAATTGCTACTCGCTTCTCTTCGTGCACAGACTAGCATAAGAACCTGTCCAGATGACCTAAATAGTGATCTCATTCTCATCACTAACCATAGAACATAGTGCTCTCATTCAGTAACTCCCGGTACTACGTTCAGCATCCGATATATTTCTCTCTCTCTCTCTCTCTCTCTCTCTCTCTCTCTCTGTCTCTTCCTCTCTCCCTCTCTCTCTGTCTCTTCCTCTCTCTCTCTCTCTCTAGCATATAAACATATTTGGATTTATACAATCCAGCACTGAGAAGCCCAGAGACAGATTCCCTCGGATAATAATAACTAACTAACTAACTGTTCTGATGCTTTTATAATATATCGAATACGTTGTGTATTTTTATTATTTTTATTATTTTGCAATTTATTGTTTAACATAATCATATATATAAATGGCAATTAATATTTAGAAGTAATACATATTATTGAATGGATATACAAATATATGTATGGGTATAATAATGAAGATAAGGGATCCGACAATATAACGTCAGCTTTCGCTCTTATTTTATCAAGGAAATATGAATATAAATCCCATAATCACAAAAATCGTTCATTTAATATTATATATACCAATGCATAAACTTAATAAATTGTCTATAATTGATAGCAATATTTCTTTAATGTTAAATAGTTCAATATCACATAATAGACAAAAGGTAAATACATAAATATACCGCTAATTATATGTCAAATAATTAATTAGCAAAAACAAATCTGAAAATTCGAAGAAAAAAAATACAATTTATGCGCCATTTGCCAAATATACAAGAAAACGCAAGAAACTAAAAAAAAAAAAAAAAAAAAAAAAAAAAAAAACTGCCAAGGCGACAATAAAAAACTGTTTAAATAAACACCCCCGCAGGCATTAAAAGAAAAAAAGGCGAGAGGAGGAAAACTAATAAAAACAACACGAGCAAATCTCAAGAGAGATAAGCCTAGGGCCGCTGCCCAATGATCTTATCTGAATCATGTGCGACCTTGAAATGGAATATCCAAAATTAAATATTGACTACAAAGGCAAAACACTAAAAGGCAATTTTGACAATCGGCAACCGGGAATCGGCAATTGAATGGCGACGCACAGAGGCCATTCATCATGAGGCATTTTGGTCGCTTTCTTCAGCTGCGTCTGTGGCATGCAACCCGTTTTCCATTTGTCATTTCAGCCTGGCCTGGACGCTGCGCTGATTGCATGACATGAGCACATCAGACAGTCGGGCTGCCCGGCTGGAATCATAATTATTTATATTAATCTGTCGGGTCACCAGCGGCGCGACTTAAGTGAAAGTAAACTTGGCGCCCACCTCCAACTCCGACTCCGACTCCAAGTGCAAGTCCAAGTTGCAGTTGCAAGTCTGTCGCAGGCCTGTTGCACAATCAACTGTGCTTATATTTCTTCTTCGATACGAATATATTTTTATTTTTAATATATATATTTTTTTTTTCTGTTTTCAAATAAATTTTCCAGCTTTGGCCGCATGTGGCTGGGGAACGCAGGAGGCGGACAGTCAGCCAGCCGGCTATGCTGGCTCCGCCTCGCCTGCACTTTTTCATTTTTGACTCGTAAACAAATTGTTCAGCTCTCTGGGCCTACTGTGAAATATTGTAGCAATTTTTGAGAAAACGACGCAAGCTTGTTAGAAAAACAAATGCAAATGCTTTCGCTGCCTACAATTGAGGAAAGGTCAAAAGGCAATAAAAGGTTAGATTCAGTATAAAAAGAAGGAAGTTAAGGAAAAGGCTCATCCATTAAAAAATTTATATACATTAATTAATTAAGCTTATTTTCATACCCATTGGAAATGCGAAAATGAATGTGACAGGCAAAAGTAGGCGTAGTAGAACTCTATAAGGTATATATATTCTTGAACAGGCTGATGAGCTGAGTTAATCTAGACCTATCCGTCTGTCCGTCCGTCCCTACGTTCGTCCTTTCATTCGTAAGGATCTTTTGAACCACAAAAGCTAAGGACTTAAAGTTTTCGATGTAAATTTAGAAGCACCATTATCTCATTCCTCATTTACAATTTCAATTTTTCAATTTTTAAATTTTGGTTACCATGCTCCTTCAGTCCAACGTTGAAAAAAGAAAAGAATTTCATATTCTAGACACTATGAGACTTTCAAGGTTCAGGGTATCTCCCGGTCCCAGCAGGTGCAAAGTCAGTTTCAGGAGATCAAACCAAAAGAATTTTAAGTTAGGTCAGCTCCAAATTGTTGATTTGCAGCCCTGTTTTGATCTCTTTCCATCACACTTGCCTTCTGTTTATTTTGACTCTTTGTGGATACATAATTCACGGTCATTTCACACACACTTGAACTCGCTGCACTGCAAATTCCCAACAACAAAAGCAAGGCAAAAAAAAATGAAAAAATCCCACTTAAAATTTTGTATGCAAAAATGCGTAAAGTAAATAAATTCACACCCGATTTAAGTAACTCGCATTAACTGCAGGCAGAGCAGGCGAGAAGAAGTGTCAAAATAATTGTCGCCGACAGAAATCGACGCAATGCATCAAAAACATCATCGTAAAACCACCTTCGAAAACATTAAAAACATACGCGAATCAAGTGTATATCAATTTAGTTCAAGTTCGCACGAAAATTTATTGAATTTTTACGCGTTTCTCATTTTGCTTTTGTTTTTTGTTTTTGTCTCTTTTTTGTTTTTTAACGCGTTTACAAGTTCACATATGAAAGTCATGGTTAAGATGAGGGAGAGATTAAAGTTTATGCAAATCGTTTGCTAACCATTATAATTGTTAAGAAGATGATTTTGATTAATGAAAGTTCGACTAAAAACAACTGTGTTTGTGAGTGTTTGTATGTGTGTAAATTATAATTATGGTAACAAATTGGAATAAATTGGAAGTAAACATTCAAAATAGTGCCAAGAGAAATTCTACATATTAAAATAATAATTTATGCTCGCTCACGAATTGAATGAAGCATATTGGGTTTGAGTAATATTTTTTTGTTTTATTTTGATGTATGTAATGTTTATGTGAAGACTATATATAGATATTTTATAAGTCGAAATTCATTAAGTTATAAATCCAATAAGCTAATCAATCATAGACCCATATCGTTTTCCAATAAGCCATTGCTTATTTCATTCCCTGATAATATTTTTAGAATTTTTAAACCCAAAACTCTAAATATATAAGATATTTATTATACATTTGTATACCATTGCAAATGGGAAAAGGTATTGTAAAATGTATGAAACAGGAGGCGTGAAAATTCCCATAAATTATATATATTGATCAGGAAGATTTAGTCCTTCCGTCTGCCTGTCGCCAGTTCAGAGTTCGTTTCAGAAAATCGATAATTATCGAGTAATAATATATGTGTTGTTTCTTGTGTATGCAGAAAGGAAGCAACGAAACATTAGAATATCAGCTCGCAGGGTCAATGGGATCTCTGAGTTGAGCAGTTTCCACTCGATTTTTCTTACTTATTTATATATTATTCCTGTATGATCTGCATTGCATTTTTGTTTCGACATTTTTCCGACATTTTCATTGTTCATTCTTTCGCAGAAAGTGTTTTTCTAGTACATGAATTTGACCCAATTTTCATAATATATTTTTGTATATACATTATACTTTACTGTATTGTAGTTGTTGTGCTTTTTCGCGAAGCAATTTCTTGACGACCGTCAAGTCGAGAATTTATGTGCGCCACATCAACATCAACATCAACAGAGAAATGCAAAAAATAAATCAATTCTTTCACAGAAACCTCTAAAAAATTAAATGAAAATAAATGCATTTTGATGCCAAATTCTTGGCTATCGCGAAAGTTTTCCTTTCGCTTTATTTGCTTTCTTAGCGTTTGAGCATTTTTTGTGTGCGTGGCACGAAACTTCCGCTCCTGCTGACAGCTAAATTTTCAACACGTGTGCTAAATTTAAGAGTACGCTGAGCATTCGAGATCGACCAA